TAGCTTTTTAAAGTCCATAGGGGGCGGGTGGTGGTGATGCACAGTTTTAATCCCAGTACTCAGGAAGCAGAGACAGACAGATCTCGGTGAGTTCTAGGCCAAACTGGTCTACAGGAGAGAGTTCCAGTAGTTCCAGGACAGCCAGGACTGTTACACAGAAAAGCCTTTGTAGAGGACTAACAGTAATTCTCTTGAAGGTATCGCTAGTGTAGTTGTGTTGTTGAGTAAAAGCAGGCTGAATCTACTGAGAACACAAGAACAATGGTAGTTGGGTTTTTGATCCTACTGCACGTACTGGCTTTGGGGGAGCCTAGGCAGTTTGGATGCTCACCTTACTAGACCTGGATGGAGGTGGGCGGTCCTTGGGCTTCCCACAGGTCAGGGAACCCTGATTGCTCTTTGAGCTGATGAGGGAGGGGGACTTGATCGGGGGAGGGGGAGGGAAATGGGAGGCGGTGGCGGGGAGGAGGCAGAAATCCTTAATAAATAAATAAATTAAAAAAAAAAAACAAAAACTAGAGATGGTGATTGAGTGTCAGCCAGCAGGGCTTTGACCTGAGGGATGGTCGCCACTTGCTTGGCCTAGAACATATACTCTCTGAAGGCAAGGCCAGGGTTTTCCAATAAAGCAGTTCTAGATTTTTTTTTTCTACCATATACACAATGTAGTGATTTTATTTTTGAACAAATGTAATCTTCATGGGGTGGATTTACGTTTTTACCCAGGTAGAATGGTAAATGTCTATAATCTCAGAGTTTAGGATACAAAGGCAAAAGGATCATGAGTTCTAGGCCATCCTGAATTATAAGATCCTGTCTCAAACACACTTTAGACAAGTCATAATTGGTAGTTTGAAACCATAGGTGTAAAATCAAACAAAAGGGAAAACCCACCTCGTTTATGCTAAAATAAATGTTTCTTGATGAAGGTAGCTTGAATAATACATTGGAAGCATACATGTAATAGTGATGTCATTACCTACATGGAGTTGGACATTTGCAAAAGTAAATTATTTACTGAGAATTCTAGCCATTTAATTTGTAATTCTGTAATAAACTCTACCACTCACTTTTTTTATACCTTGGGGGTAACTCAGGCTCACAGTAATAGAAGGTGGTAGCCTTGGTGTTTATATCACAGAGCCTATGACTTTGTCTTTTTTAACGTAAGGATTGACATTTTAGGGAAGGAATATTTCATTGTGCAAAAAGAAAAATGAATTTTTTTGTAGCCTGAACTTTTGGAGGTACAGTCAAGGCTCAGAGCTGTAGGAAAACATTGTTTTACCCTTAGAATATCAGTTGATACCACTTGAGAATTGAGGCCTGATCTAAAAATAGTTTGTGTTAGTAGATTCTTCATGAGGCATTCTCATGACATGTAGGTAGGCAGCACAAGTTTTATCCTGAGGCCAGTTTTTTGTATATCATCAGTTTTAAATTTTAAAAGAATTAGCATTTTTCTCTTTCAAGTATTGCGTGTAAACCTGTTGACCCTTGAGTTTAAAAGTAGTTTATCGTAAATTTTTGATTCATGTAAAAGCTTAATTTTTTTGTCCCTAATAAAAGACTTAAAAGACAAAAGGCTCGCCAATAATCTCATTTCATGGCAAAATATGCCAAAACAGAAGTTACCAGGCAGTAGATTAAGAAAAATTCTTGTTACAGTAAAACATTGTTCTGAATTCAGAACTACATGTTGCTAAAAGTTAAGATAAACCAGTGGTTCTCAACCTTTCTAATGCTGTGACCCTTCAATATATAGTTCCTTATGTTGTGGTGATCCCCAACCATACAGTTAATTGTTATTTCATAACTGTTTTGTTACTCTTATGAATTGTAGTGTAATACCTGATTCACAATCACAAAGGGGTCGTGACCCACAGGTTGAGAACCACTGAGTCAGACTCTATAAAGTCAATACTACTTAACTATGGGAGTATATAGTTTCAGTTTTGAAAATGAGAAATATACATTTTTTTAATTGGTACTTTAAAAGCATCAGTCTATTTTATGTTGGATTGAAGTTTTAGATAGTTGTGTTTGTATGATATCTTTATTATTTTAACTAAGCTTCAGAAATCAAATGATTAGGAATGGATACCCAGGCAGAGAAGGTCCTGGGGTCATCAAACAAATAGTTGCCTTAGCGTTTTCTTTTTGATTTTTCAAGATTGATTTCTCTGTGTAGCCTCGACTGTCCTGGAACTTGCTCTGTAGACCAGGCTAGCCTCTAACTCACAGAGATCCTCCTGCTTCTGCCTCCCAAGTGCTGAGATTAAAGGTGTGCACAACCACCGCCTAGCAGTTGCCTTAGGTTTTAAATACATTTTTTTTTCTCACTTAATGAGCACATGGATCCTTTCTTCAGAGATCCCTGTAGTTGCCTCTGACTCATGGTGTAATTATATTAGTACTGATAGCATTAATTTGCTCAGCACGTGATTAGGTGCCAGGAACTGTGGTAAGTACTACTTGTGTATGAATTCAGACTCCACATGCCACAGTATTATACTTTCATGTGTAGTGTGCGCATAAGGAAAGTAATAGACTATTAGGGGTATAGATTGAACACCTTGATTACTTTTATTCTAATTTCACAGTCACCTTAAAAAAAGACCTGTAATTTGTGTACATAAGGAAGGGGGCATGCCTGATGACATTGGGCCAGTTCAGGAATATGATGCATCTTCCTAATGGTATTAGGAGTGAGGCAAAGTGACTGGACAGATTCTTTAAATTAGTTTTTTTTTCTAGCTACCTGAAATAATAAGCATTTTAGACCTTCTTCCTGAGGAATGACTTTCTCTCAGAAGGATTCCCAAGTCTGCATGTGTTCCCTAGACTATTGTCATGTCTGTCTCATTGGTCCTCATCTCTCCTGCAACTGATGTCAGTCTGTTAGACTTACAGCTAATGATTTTCTTGCCCTCAGAAGTGGCCAAGATCCTGAGATTTTATTTATAGCCCTTGCATTATAGTAAACGAAAATTAGGGATTTCTTCATTATTAGAGGGTGCTTAATTTTTATTTTATTTTATTTTTTTTTTTAGTAACTTCTGGTGTAGAAGACACACTCCTAACTCCTTAACCTGGTTTATGAAGCTTTTTCAGTTCCTCTCTTTGGTACCTAACACTCTGCTGTACTGGAACACTTTTTATAATGTCTTCCTGTTTTCTGTGTTGTTCTTTAGACCTCTTCCTTTATCCAGCTTCCCAATACATTGTGGATTAGAGGGCAGAATATGTTCCCAACATGCTGTAGCTTGTGTTGTTTGTTTATAACACGACCAGATCTTAGTTCATTGTCCAGACTTTCAAAGTGAATCTTTGTCTCACTTGTTGACCCTTGAGGTGTTGCCAATAGATAGAAGACAACTAATTAATGTTTATTAGGCAGTGAATGAATAAAGCATATAGCCTTACAATATGCAAATTGTAAATGCATGCCTTTATGAAGTTATAAAGTGAGGTATAGTATCAACTTACTTAGAAATGTACAATTCTGAAAAGAGTGGTGTGGCTTGGTAGGGTTTGGTAAACAGCCTTGCAGAATTGAGTTTTCTGGTGGCCTTTGAAAGCTTCAGAGGATGTTTTCAAAAGCTTAAATCTGAAGTAGGATATGAAACTATCCATTCAATACCATTCTACAGTTTGTAAACTATAAATACATTTGGTCTTTCTCGTGATCACCTGGATTTTTAATAGGCTAGACAAAGTAACACCATGCTGTTCTGTTCTGTTTTGATGAGAGAAGCTATAACTGTGTGCTGGTTTTCCTTACTTGTTCTGATTTGTTTTTTTTCTTCCCAAGTTATTTGGGAATAATTGCAGTCCTTAAACTGATCTTCCTTAGAAAGTTAATTCTGTTCACTGGCTGTGGAGTCACATAGTTGCAATCCTATCTGGGAAGCTAAAGCAGAGGATAGCTTTGGATGTCCACCACTCCCCAGCTGCAGGCTGAGGATATATTAAATTCTGGGCCGATATTTCTCAAACAACAGTTAGAGATCAGGGTAAGGGTCTACTTTCAAGGAGTTCTGAGTCATCCTATGTGAAAACCTTTCTTGAAAAAAGAAAAAAAGAAAATTCAGTCTGTCAACCAGTGTGTCATTACTTAAAACATGTGGCCTTGAGTGCAGAAAATGAGGGAACTGAAAGGTGAAGAATGAACCAGGTAGGTAGCTGCCCTTGGTACTAATAGATAGTGATACTGAACATTTTCTAGAGAACACCAGAGTAGTCTTATGTAGGGCTCATTCATGAGTCTAGGTCTAAGAGTATTGTTTTCTCCAGCGATGCCTTATGTGGCTTTTCCTGCTCTTAAGCAGGTTTATGTGTGCTTCTAATGACTGACTTACCTTTGGGTGCTGCTACTCTCATTTTTGATGCTTGCCACATATGCACCAGGCACCATGCTTTATACAAGTCATCCAAAAGTTGGTAGGTCATCTTTGCCTGTTTCATACAGCGGGGAGCTGAGACACAGGTGACCTGGTATGTTTAGGGTTTTTACGCAGGTGAAAGGTTATTTATGAGAGCATGAAAAACTTAACCAGTGGAGACACCACTGATAAAAATGTCTCTCTCCCTTAATATGTCATCTTTTTGTGACTAGCTTCTTTCACATTTTCAAAGTTTACCATGTCTCAGTGCATTTATTTATGTCAAACAATATTCCATTGTGTGGATATACTGAAGATTTCAACCAAGTCTGTCTAGTTCTGAAGTTCATGTTATTGCTTACATGTCATGTTAATTCCTATGTGTGTACTGCTGAATTAAGAGGTTCTTGAGGAAACACCTTTATGCTTTAGCTGGTACAGTGTTCTGAGTTCTCTGTTCATAATAAGTATTTATTCAGTGCTTTGATATGTAGGCAATAAACTGAAGTCCTTGTTACATTTTTAAATTCATGGTATTGTTTAAAATAATAGAGTCAAGTCTGTTTATCATTCTGTATAAGTACAGAAAACCTAAGCATGTTTTCTCATGTCTAGGAAGAAGAAACAGGAAGGATAAAAGATTGCTGGGACAACCAGGAAGTTCCTGCATTGTCTACATGTAGCAATGCCAATATTTTTCGAAGGATAAATGCCATTTTGGATGATTCACTGGACTTCAGTAAAGTCTGCACAACACCCATAAATCGAGGAATTCATGATCGAGGTAATTGAGATTTGAAAATGGGATGCACTAGGCTAGTCTGAAACTACTGCTAAGTAGTGTGTTCTAAAGGTCTTCATTGAGAAGCCTATTAAGAATATACTGAGTGTCTGGCGGTACTTGCCCCATTTCATGATTTGCATTATGGATTGGACCCCTTTGTATGTGGAGACTGCCTGTGATTAGAATAAAGATAATCTGTTTTATGTAATGTACAGGAAGAGTTGATTTAGAAAGACTGAAAGCCATATTTATGTGTGGAGTGGGGGTGGTGCAGACACATAATTCCAGCTTCTTAGGATGTGGAGACAAGGAGAAATAAAAGTTTGAGGACCACCTGGACTACATAGTAATTTCAAGGTCAGCATGAGGTAACTAGCAAGACCCAAGTGTTAGTCTGGGTTTGAGCCCCAGGACCACAAAGGAGTATAATGTGAGCCATATTGTTAAAGACTTGGAGTAGCTATTTAAATTGTGGATCTGGAGACATGTCTCAGTTGTTAAGAGTACTTGCTGCTCTTTCAGAGGATCTGGGTTTGGTTCCTGGCACCAACATCAGGATGCTCGCAACACCTGTAACTGCAATTCCAGGGAATTTGACATCCTATCTGGTCCCTCAGGGCACCAGGCACACATGGTGCATATACTTATATCTAAGCACTCACATAATATACATAAAAATAAACCCTTAAAAAAGTTAGAGTTGAAATAAATTTATTATTTAGTTCAACATACATAAAGTACTCTTTATCAACATATAACCAGTATAAAAATGGCCTACTAAGCTGTGTTTCTACTCCATCACTCTCTGTTCTATTCCTCTGAGCATAGGGTCTTTTCTTTCACCAAGCATAGAACTCACTGTATTTTGGTGTCCTCACCCCCAGCTTCCTGGTAGACTGGTAGCTAACAGTACCCAACAATCCTGTTTCTACCCTTCCCTAGTACTAACATTATAGCCACATATGGCCACCTTATAGCTTCTTGTATGGATGATAAGGATCTGAACTCAGGTTCTTAAGCCTGTGCAGCAATTTTTCTTACCCACAAAACCATCTCCCCAGCTCAGCTCTCTCTTATTAGTACTGACTTGAGAGTGAAGTGAATTCATCATAGTTGATTAGTTACACAGAGTAACCACATGTAACTGGTACCAATTGTGTTGCATGGTGCAGGCCAACAGACATGAAATTTTCCCATGTAGGAGACTGCTGATCAGTACGGGAGGGGCAGCTTCTTAAGATAACTCTTGTCAAGGAAGTATGGATGCCTTAACAGCATTTCATAGTCTTTTGAAGGAGTTGGAACATGTCTTAAGAATGTTGATGGAATGTTTAAGTCATTTTAGAAGAAAGAAGACATTTTTGTAACAGGCCTGTCTTTGGACCTCCAGATCCTGAATAATAACACAGAGTTTTTATTAATTATGAAAGCTTGGGCTTAGCTTAGGCTTGTTCCCAAAAAGCTCTTAAAACTTAAATTAGCCCATGTATATTAATCTCTGTTCTGCCACGTGACTAACAAGTGGCTAACTAACTTCTCAGTACTATACGTACTCCATGTCTGGCTGGTGAACCTCCGTTGCCTCAGATTCTTTTCCAGAGTTCCTATCTCTTCCCAGAAGTCCATCCTAGCCTCTCCTGCCTGGCTCTTTATTAAGCCAATCAGAAGGTGCTTTAAGTTATGTTGTTTAAGTAGGAAAACTTGTACAAATGAAGATGAACATACTAAGTGAATTAATCCAGTCTCAGCAAGACATATCTTTTATTTCATACATAGACCCTAGAATTTTGTATATGTACATAAAATAATGTGTGCATATATGACATGAAAGTAGAAGCAAAACTGCCTAGGAGAATAAAAGAAATTTTTTCTTTGTTACTCTGGTCTTTCTGAGTTTGCAGATAACACTGGGAGGGAGAGCCAGCTTTCAGACCTCTCATGACTGATATATCTGGGTCATGTGGTAAATTTTTTGTTGGTTTGTTTTTGTTTTTTTTATATATATATAATCATCTTAGCTTCCTTTTCTTTCTTTTTTTTAATTTATTTATTTATTAAAGATTTCTGTCTCTTCCCCGCCACCGCCTCCCATTTTCCTCCCCCTCCCCCAATCAAATTGTTGGTTTGTTTTTGAGGAACCTCCGTACTGATTTCCGTAGTGGCTTGATTATATTCTCATCAGCACTGTAGAAGGAGTTACCTTTTGTCTACGTCCTAGTTAGCATTTGTTGTTGGTTTTTATTTTATTTTAAAATGTGTGTGTGTGTGTACACCATCGGGTACAAGTATTCATAGAAGCCAGAGGTGTTGGATTCCCTATAGCTGAAGTTACAAGGTAGTTGTGAGCTGCCAGATGTGGGTGCTGGGAAACAAACTCTGGTTCTTAGTAAGAACAGTAAGAACTTTTGACCTAAGAGCCATCTTAAAGCCCTGTTTTCTTTCCTTCCCTTCCTTCTGCTTCCCCTTCCCTGTTTCTCCTTCCCTCCTTCCCTCCTATCCTTCTTCTGTCTTTTTCTTTCTTTCTTTTGTCTCTTGGAGTTGGAGACATGTTTTCTTTTTTTTTTATTTTTTTAAATTTATTTATTTATTAAGGATTTCTGCCTCGTCCCCACAACCGCTTCCCATTTCCCTCCCCCTCCCCCGATCAAGTCCCCCTCCCTCATCTGCTCGAAGAGCAATCAGGGTTCCCTGACCTGTGGGAAGCCCAAGGACTGCCCACCTCTATCCAGGTCTCGTAAGGTGAGCATTCAAACTGCCTAGGCTCCCACAAAGCCAGTACGTGCAGTAGGATCAAAAACCCACTGCAATTGTTCTTGAATTCTCAGTATTCCTCATTGTCCGCTATGTTCAGCTAGTCCGGATTTATCCCATGCTTTTTCAGACCTAGGCCAGCTGGCCTTGGTGAGATCCCAATAGAACATCCCCATTGTCTTAGTGTGTGGGTGCACCCCTTGTGGTCCTGAGTTCCTTGCTCGTGCTCCGTCTCCTTCTGCTCCTGATTTGGACCTTGAGATTTCTGTCCGGTGCTCCCATGTGGGTCTCTGTCTCTGTCTCCTTTCATCGCCTGATGAAGGTTAATATTCCTGAGGATTCCTATGTGTTTGTCTTTGGATTCACCTTATTTAGTTTCTCTAGGAACATGAATTATAAGCTCAATGTCCTTTATTTATGGCTAGAAACCAAATATGAGTGAGTACATCCCATGTTCCTCTTTTTGGGTCTGGCTTACCTCACTCAGGATAGTGTTTTCTATTTCCATCCATTTGTATGCAAAATTCAAGAAGTCCTTGTTTTTTACTGCTGAGTAATACTCTAATATGTATATATTCCATACTTTCTTCATCCATTCTTCCGTTGAAGGGCATCTAGGTTGTTTCCAGGTTCTGGCTATTACAAACAATGCTGCCATGAACATAGTTGAGCATATACTTTTGTTGTATGATAGGGCCTCTCTTGGGTATATTCCCAAGAGTGGTATTGCTGGATCCAGGGGTAGGTTGATCCCGAATTTCCTGAGAAACCGAAACACTGCTTTCCAGAGTGGTTGCACAAGTTTGCATTCCCACCAGCAATGGGTGAGTGTACCCCTTTCTCCACAACCTCTCCAGCAAAGGCTATCATTGGTGTTTTTTGTTTTAGCCATTCTGACAGGTGTAAGGTGGTATCTTAAAGTTGTCTTGATTTGCATTTCCCTGATCGCTAAGGAAGTTGAGCATGACCTTAAGTATCTTTTGGCCATTTGAACTTCTTCTGTTGAGAATTCTCTGTTCGGCTCAGTGCCCCATTTTATAATTGGGTTGATTAGCCTTTTACGGTCTAGTTTCTTGAGTTCTTTATATATTTTGGAGATCAAACCTTTGTCAGTTGCAGGGTTGGTGAAGATCTTCTCCCAGTCAGTGGGTTGTCTTTTTGTCTTAGTGACAGTGTCCTTTGCTTTACAGAAGCTTCTCAGCCTCAGGAAGTCCCATTTATTCAATGATGCCCTTAGTGTCTGTGCTGCTGGGGTTATACATAGGAAGTGGTCTCCTGTGCCCATGTGCTGTAGAGTACTTCCCACTTTCTCTTCTATCAGAGACATGTTTTCCTTAGGATTTTTGTGTCCACTTTAGAAACTGTCTTGCAGTTACCTTTAATGTATACTGGATGTCAGTCATGCTTGCCCCTTGAAGCATATTAGAAACTTCCTTTTATTTCCTGTTCTAAGTTTGTATAAAAACTGTGATGTTACTGCTTAAGTTTTGATGAAATTCACTGGTGAAGCCTTCTGGATATGAAATGCTTTTTGTTTTCTAAGGTAAATTTTTAAAGTTATAATTGCATTTTAAAAATAGATACAGAAATATTATACTCTGTATTCTAAGTTTTGGTAACCTGTATTTTTTTAGGAATGTCTCCATTTCCTTTACATAGTCAATTTATTGATATAAATTTTTATGTAATAGCTTCTTTTAATCTTTTGAATTATTAATATTCTTGATATTATTAAATGTTTCCCTGACTTTTTGTCAGAATTTTAAAATAAGATCTCAGCTTTGGTTTCCCCTTTCTATTATGCAGTTATTGTGTGTGTTGCAAGGGATGCTGGGGTACAGATTAGTGGTAAAGTGTGCACAGCTCTGGCTTCACTCCCATGGGCTATAGGAGGGAGATCATTGCTTTGAACATCATTGAGTTTCTCATTTTTTTATGCCTAATGTTTTTAATGCTTTCTTTGGACCTAGTACTTTTTATTTATTTTTGGTTTTTTGAGACAGGGTTTCTCTCTCTGCAGCTTTGGAGCCTGTCCTGAAACTAGCTCTGTAGACTAGGATGGCCTCGAATTTACAGAGTCTGCCTGCCTCTGCCTTCTGAGTGCTGGGATTAAAGGCTTGCACTACTACCACCCAGCTTAGTACATTTTTTAATATTTAAAAAAGTTTTAAAAATTTATTCCTCTCTCATGCAATACATCATGCAGTTTCTGCCCCCTCCTGCCCTTCACTCCCTCCCTCTACTTCCCC